TCTCTTTAATCTGTGATATTCTAGATCTCTAGGCGTCTCGTTACTCAAACATTATAAGAAAAACAAAATGCAAAAAAATCGTTACGGAATTTCACTCCGGTAGCAGAGATGGCTGGCCAGAGCGTTCATTAAAATTTATAATGAAATTCTTGTGCCATCAAAAACTTCAGGTCACAGTCACTTTGCAGAAGACATTTTATTGCTAGTTTCGGTACTTTCATTAAAAAGAAACGCTTTAATGGAACACCCAATCCCATTGTAGCACTTCAGTGTTGAGGATTTCTGCTAAAATTCTGCTGGTCGACAAGGTAGACAAATAAATATGTTATTCTTTCAATCACTATTTTGTTTGGCACTGTTCATGCATGTATAAGAATAAATACTTGCACTATAGAACAAGTACACTACAAGAAATTAAAACATTTGTTAATAATAGTAGTAAATTTTGCAGCAGCTAGTCGACTTGATTTATTGTAAACTTACTCTCGACGTTTCGACTGTTCAACAGTCATTTTCAAGACAAATAAAACGATGATAGAAACGATCACACTTACATACTCAACATAAGAGAGCAAAAAAACAATGTACATTTTTCTTCTTGATATAAAAAAGAAATAAAAACATCACTGATAACGAACAAATGTGAAGAAGAATATGCGTATATTCTTCGTCACATCTCCTCCCCCCAAGGCCTAATATTTTGTTCATTCATCTTTAATCTTTTACTTCAGTTCTGGTAATCCTTCTGGCTAGGTAACTAATGGTGCAGAACATACTGTTTAGGGGTGGCACTTTACCTTTACCTTACTTGTAAGTAGTAACGAGTCATTCATGTTGTTACTTAGTTATTAGTAACTAGTAATGAGTAACTAATTTCGTTATTCTTCCAGAAAGTAACGAAAAATCATTATTTTTTAGAGAAGTAACGGTAACGAAGTAAATAAATTACTTACTCACTACTAGTTACTGGTAACTAAGTAACGATATGAATGACTCTTTACTAATAACGAAGTAACTAACTTCGTTACTTTATCTGGTAAACTAACGCCGAGTAACTAGTAAAGTGGCATCCCTAATACTGTTCTGTTCGATGATGGTTGTTGAGCTAAAATTAACAAGGATTCACGAACCCGTAATCTATAATTTCTCATATCTCTTGATAATGTTTTCCATTCGTCTCAATTAATTTTGTTATCAATCTCTTGGTTTTTCAAAGCAGATTTTGTTTGTTCTTCATCTTTACTATCATCAATTTCTGCTTCTAATTTAATTTTATCTTCAGTATAATTTTTTCTTTTTTCCTTTATTTTTATCCGATTGTCTTAAATCTGATCTATCAGTTGTTGTGGTTGCAGATTGTGTTGATGGCTTCTTAATCTGAGGAGCATCATGTTCTTTTTAAAGATTTGAAAATCTGCGTATAGCTTGTCGTATCGTTTTGTCCATATAGGATGCAGGACAATTTTTACAACCAACTTGATTTATTATATTAGACTGAAGTTCTTTAGGAATAGAGTCTTTCGTAGGAAAACATTTATTTATGGCTGGCGGTGGACGAGGGATAGGTTGAATATGTATTTGTAGACGTATTTCTATTGCCAATTTAATAATTTTCTTCCCAAGTAATTCAGTTGGTTTTCCAACAAAAGAAAGATCAACGAATATTTGTTCTTTTTTCATGGTATCTTTTGATTCATGTTTACGTCCTGGTATATCTTCAGTTTTATTTCCATTTTGTTCAAAATGTCTGTTTAATGTGTTTCGAATTTGACATTTGATGAAGTTTATTGGATATCCATTTTTCACTGATATTTTTTCAATAAAGTCAAATTCTTTATGCATCAATTCATACGAAGAGCAAATTGTGACTGCTCGATATACCATTGAGTTAATATCATTCACTTTATATGAGTGTGGAACAAAGGAACTCCATTTTATTGGTAAGCCTGTAAATGTGGGTTTTCGACAGACTGTGGTAGAGAAATTTGCTTTTTGATGAGGTGAAGAAGTAGATACTCGACTAATTGAAAATCTTATCAACGGTGTTTTACCTCTTTTTTACATCAAGAAGAAAAATATACATTATTCTTTTGCTCTTTTATGTTGAGTATTTAACTGTGATTGCGAAACGTCGACAGTAAACTCACAATAAATGAAGTCGACTAGATGCTGTAAAATTTACTACTATTATTTTCAAATTTTTGCCCATGAATCAAAATAACTATTTGAAACATTGTGTTTGAATGTATGTTGTTCATGCACTTTTAACAGCTCGGTTATTGTTTCGATAGTATCGTAGAGCTTGCAATTTAGTGATACAGTAGGAAAAAATGAAAATATGAAGTACATAATAAAGTTTAAGACTTTCTTTCAAATTCCCAGACCTGTTAATAAAGATTCTGATTATTGCGTATTAAATTAATCATTTTAGAATTCTTGAAATATCTTGACCAGATCTGCTCAATCAAGACAGATTCTGTTACAAAAGTTGTGGAAAATCGGCAGCATCGCTTTCCATTCAGAATCTTGAAAGATTTCGATAAATCTGCACAAGTTCTTGAAAGATCTGGGACGAAACTTGAGAAATCTTTAATGATTTATCAAAATTTGCATTCAATAGTTTTCTCTTGGGAGAAGCATTTCAGTGAGTTGAGAATCACTGTTTTCACATACAATCTCATATATGTTACAACAATAATATAAAGATATCGAACAAGAAAGATAACTTGAAAGTGAAATGCCCGCTGTTCCTCTTGTT